GTATTTGGTTGGTACGCAATATACCAATAAACCAGGTTTACTTAATGTATTCAGATAGTCATGGTTCAGAGACACAGTCCAGCATAGCAGAAAAACCTCTGCTGCATGATTCATACCTTCACGGTATTTAGTCATTAAGTACAATTTTGGAGTTTTGGGACGGATCCAATCCATTGAGTTTGTTGCAGCAGCCGATATTCCTGCCGTTCTGCCGATGGAGAGTATTTTTCTTTGTATATATTTGAGTCATACAGGCTTATTTACTAAAGTGAGAATTTCAAATTTAAGGTCAAAATTGCCGAACTGGATAAATTCTCCAAGTCAGCCTGGCCTTCAATGTCAAATTCACACTTTAGTAAATAACCATAATACATTATGTGCGGTTTCAGTGGCTTTCAAGTGCAATTCAGGTGTTTTCACATCTCACTTGCTTTTTTACTGATCCCTTTGTAACTTTATGACGCGTGTCAGAAAACCAAACAAAAAATCTGCCGCACTGCCAATGCCATAGTGTAAAAAAGGTACATTTTATAAATATATATTGTGTAAAACATGCTGTCATCATACAACTTGCAAATTCTAGTAAAAGCATATGCACAGCACCTTCTGAGTAATTACAAGTTCTTTGATCCTCATTTATACTTTACAGTATGACTGTCTGAAGAGCATTCCACCTGTTTAAGGCTAATGATCAAAGCAGATGAATGAAAGCATACTGTGTGAATAATCAGATGGCATTCTCATATTGAGACTTGTTAACAGACTTTAACTCCTTCTCTGCATTCCACTGTGTTGCTGTCAAAAACATGCACCTTTCATTTTGCTAGTAAAAGTCGTGCATCCTTTTATGATTGTTGGATGAAAATTAAAATATTTTCTTGTGACTCACGCAAAGCAGGACCTATATTATGTCTGTTTTTAATTGAAGATTGGAGCAAATAATCACACAATGACTCCATTTGCAGAAGCATTTGCAATAAAACAAATGTTAAAAAGTAAAAAATAAAGTTTAAAAAGTCCTTGATAATGTATTATTTACACACAATATCAGCACTAGTCTTGCATTTGAGAGGCACAAAGGAATATTAATTAAGAGTCTCTCAGACTAGGAAGAGACAGAAGCTCACGATAAAACAAAATGTATATATTGGCGGTAGGAAACCTTTTCAGTCTAAAAAATCATGACATGTTGCTGAAAACACATCTGAACTTAGTACTGTATAAAGATGTAATGTGTAATTGTAAGATTTAGCGGAAGGAGCCCTAAATACAGTAGGGAACTGAGACAGAATGCCTATTGTGAGATACAGATAGGGATCAAGCAAAGATGTGGTCAGGAAAAGCCACCCATGGTCAGATGATTAATCATGCCAAAATGGGTCAAATACAGGGCTGGACTGGGAACACAAAGTGTCTGTGTTTTTATATACGTGTGTGTGTGTTATGTACATGTTTTTTTTTAACATATATTTATTTTACATACAACCCCCAAGGCACTAAATTTATGATTTATCATAGTGATAAATCATATATTTATTTGACTTGGATGCTCTTGTTTTTGTATTGTTACTTACCTGCAGTCCCTCGCTTCAGATGATCAACGGGTGAAACAGTGCTGTAACAGCCATCATTCAGGTTGTATCCTGTTTGTTGTGATTGGCATTGCTTCGGGACACTTCGCTTAAAATTCTTCATGCTCATGCAGACATCAGCACATTGGCATCAGCGTGGCAAATGTATATATCAAATAGCTTGTTCCATGTGAATAAATCACTGAATAAAGCTCACTGATACACACATGAGCTCTGTGACACACACAAGCTCACTGGAACATCCACAAAAGCTCACTACACAGAAGTCTACTAACACACACAAGCTCACTACAGACAAGCTCTCTAACACACACACACACACACACACACTCACTACAGACAAGTTCACTGACAGAAACACACACAAGCTCACTACAGACATGCTCACTGACACAAGCAAGGTCTCTGCAGACAAGCTAACAGACACACACACATACAGACACAAGCTCAGTACAGGTAAGGTCACTGACACACACAAACTCACTACAGATAAGCTCACTGATACAAACACACACCCCTACAGACAAGCTCACTGATACACACAAGCTCAATGACACACAAAATCACAAACACAAACACACATAAGATCACTACAGAAAAGCTCACTGATACACAAAAGCTCACTTCAGACAGACTCAGTAATACCCACAAGATCACTGACATATAAGTTTCCTACATACAATTTCAGCTCTCTAACACACACACACACACACACACACACTCACTACAGACAAGTTCACTGACAGAAACACACACAAGCTCACTACAGACAAGCTCACCGACACAAATAAGGTCTCTGCAGACAAGTTTACATACACACACAAGCTCAGTACAGGCAAGGTCACTGACACACACAAATTCACTACAGGTAAGCTCACTGATACAAACACACATGCATGCTCCTTACAGTCAAGCTCACTGACACACACAAGCTCACTGATACACACAAGCTTACTGACACACAAAATCACTAACACAAACACACATAAGATCACTACAGACAAGCTCACTGATACACATAAGTGCACTACAGACAGACTCAATGATACACTAGTTTCCTACATACAAGCTCACTGACACAAACACATACAAGCTCACTACAGAAAAGCTCACTGACAGACACAAGCTAACTGACACACACCTATAAGCTCAATACACATAAGCACACACACAGCTCACTACATACAAGCTCACTGACAACCATAAAATCACTGACATACACAAGCTCATATAACACACAAGCTCACTACAAACAAGCTCACTGGCAAACATACACAAGCTCACTAAAGACAAGATAACTGTAAGCACACACACACAATCAGTCATGTGCTGCTGGGGAAACCTACATTTACCTGTCACTGGCAGCCTGAGTTTTCTTCTTATATGAGGTTATCATTCTGTTTTCCACTTAAGAGAACATCAAGATTGTTGCGCCCCCATCTAGCAGGTTAAAGACACGAGTTGCATTTAAAAGAAACATTTACCGTACTTGTAGGTGTGCATTACCAAATAACACACACAAAGGGTATAATACATATAGTCTTTTATTTTATATAATAATAAAAAAGATAACACATTCAGGGTTTTTCGCCAAAGTGTGAATTGTTGCTAAATCTATTCAGTCAGCTATGTTTTCAGTGTGAATATTTGGACTATAATTTGCAATTCAATTTAAATTCACTTAGAATTTTCCGTAATTCATTTTAGTAAATAACCCTGATTAAGTTAATTTGCATGCCATTTTCATTTGTTAATATGTCCTTCACACAATTGTGTTAGTACTATGCTTAGTATTTTTATAGTGTATAACCACAATCTTTTAATCTGACAATATCTTTTTATCTCTATTGTTATTTTTCTATACATTTTAAATGTGATTGTAATATTTGAATGAGTTATATAGTATTCAGAAACACGAGCTGAACTCTGTTTAATTGATGACACAATAGAATAGAAAATATTGATTTTCCAGTCATGCTAAATGCAAAGTAACTTTCAAAACATGATGAGATATTTGAACAGTTTTGCTGCAAATGATCAATTTTCCGATTTTAAAAAAAGTCAGCTTTTATTTCAGATTATAATGGTGTCATTAATTAAAACGGAAATAAATAAATTACTGTAAGTATTTTTTACCCTAAACAAGCTGAATTATGTATGGATTCCCATTCCCATGATCCTCTGGGACAAGAACGCTATGTAATATGACCTCATTTTTTTTAACACATATGGCTCATGTCTCATTTCTGCTCTTACTCATTTACCATTCTCCTTCAGTTTATTTTCCCAAGATGTTTATGTATGACTAGACCTTTCACATTGTATATGTCTTTCAATTTTTAGTTATTTACACCATAGCTGTAAGAACAGCAATATTTTGAGCTGCAAAATAAACGTAGAAACGAGTAGGTGTGTTTTGTGATAAAAAAAAAAAAAGAATATAATACAAAAAGTAAAATATTTGTTTCTAAGTAGATAACAATCAGTTTCCAACTCAGCAACTTTGGACTTTAATTTACAGTTTTCTGACAATAAGGTTTGGGTGGTGTGCTAATGTTAATAATATTACATTTTAATTATGCTGTTAAAGAATTCTCTCTATTTATCTATATTAGGCATAGGCAACCTTCAGCACTTCAGATGTTTTGGACTACACCTCCCATGATGCTTTGCCAGCATTATGGGTGTAAGAGCATTTAATTTTGCTTGGATTCCAATATGACCAATACTCTGATAACTCTGATATCTCAAATAGTGTCAGATTGCCTCTTCTCAAACAACTTGTTCGCTTTCTTCTTTCTAGCATTAACCCTTTTCTGTCAGTCTACACCAAAGTCAATATTCATAACATCAATTCTACATCACGGCACCTTCTTTGATTCTGATTTAATTGTCACTTGCCCACTATTCATGTATCTTCCTAATTTTATTGTCTATTATAAAACTAAACAGCGTCATGGTTTTCTGCAGTACTTTTCACTTTTCCAATGGGAACATAAAACAACAAATAACTGGAAAACATATTAATGTGAACAAAAAAAAAAAAGAGGGGAAGAGGGCCCTGTTTAAAAAAATATAACATTTAGAAGTGAAGTATTTTCAAAAGCACATGCCAGATTTGCTCTCCACCCATGCAGGGGCGGACTGACAGGTCGGGCAGATCGGTCATCGACCGAGGGCCCGAGGCAGTCAGGGGGCCCGGCAGAACAGCAATGCTTCTGCTGTGGAGTTCAGAGATCTCCACAGCAGAAGTAAGTTAAGCAAAAAAAGTGCTGTAAGAAGGTTGCAGGGGCCCATAATGACTCAAAAGGCCCCTGCAACCCATCACTCTGCTAATACCTCCCCCATCCAGTGAGAGACCTGGCAGCACACCTCTCACTGCCAGGTCTCCTCTCTCTCTCCCTGCAGCACTCAGGTGAAGATGGGAGGCAAGTGACATCACCCCCTGCTTCCCTCTCACACGGAGCACACAAACAGCATGGATGGAGGGTGAGAAGAGGAGCCTGTCTGTCCTACTGCTGCTGGAGGAAGATGGAGGGAGAAAAACATCAGACTGTACAGGTAAGCAGACCCATATACACACTGCCCCCCACCCACATACACACACTGCCCCCCACCCACATACACACACTGCCCCCCACCCATTTACACACACTGCCCCCCACCCATTTATACACACTGCCCACCACCCATATACACACTGCCCACCACCCATATACACACACTGACCCCCACCCATTTACACACACTGCCCATCACCCATATATACACACTGCCCACCACCCATATACATACACTGCCCACATATATATATACATACACTGCCCACCACCCATATACATATATACACTGCCCACCACCCATATACACACACTGCCCCCCACCCATTTACACACAGCCCCCACCCATATACACACACACTGCCCACCACCCATATACACACACTGCCCCCATCCATATACATACACTGCCCACATATATATATATATATATATATGTGTGTGTGTGTGTGTGTGTGTGTGTGTGTGTGTATATATATATATATATATATATATATATATGCGTGTGTATATATATATATATATGTATATATATATGTGTATATATATGTATATACATACACTGCCCACCACCCATATACATACACTGCCCACCACCCATATATATATATATATATATATATATATATATATATATATAAATAAATATACACTGCCCACCATCCATATACACACACTGCCTACCAGCCATTTACACACAGCCCCCCACCCATATACACACACTGCCCACCACCCATATACACACACTGCCCCATCCATATACATACACTGCCCACATATATATGTGTGTGTGTGTGTGTGTATGTATATATATATATATATATATATATATATATATATACATACACTGCCCACTCATATATATACACACACACTGCATACACTGCTCAACCCATAAATATACACACACATGGCAGACACTGCCCACCCATAGATATACACATACTGCCCACCCATATATATACACACACACTGCCCACGCATATATATACACACACACACTGCATATACTGCTCAACCCATAAATATACACACACACACACACTGCAGAGACCGACCCATAGATACACACACGCTGCCCACCTATATATGCATACACTGCCCACCCATAGATACACACACACACACACACACACACACACTGCATACACTGCCCACCCATATGCACACACTGCACACACTGCCCACCCATATATACACACACTACCCACCCATATATATGCACACACACACTGCCCACCCGTATATATATATATATATATATATATATATACACATATATGCACACACTGCCCCCCCACACACACACTGCCCACCCATATATACACATACACTGCATACACTGCCAATCCATATATATATATATATATATATATACACACACACACTGCATACACTGCCCACCCATATATATATATACACACACACACACTTCCCACCCATATATACACACACACTGCATACAGTGCCCATCCATATATACACACACACACTGCCCACCCCCCACACACACACACACATTGCCCCACACATACATACACTGCCCCCCCCACACACCGTACACATACACACACACTGCCCCCCACACATACACTGCCCCCACACACACCATGCACATACATACATTGCCCCCACACACTGCCCTCCCCACACACATACACTGCCCCCACACCATACACATTCACACATTGCCCCCCACACACATATACACAGCCCCACATACACACACACATTGCCCCACACACCCTACACATTCACTCACTACACCCCCCCCACACACACACACACTGAACCTTTCACACACACTGCACCACTCGCACACACCACTACTCCTATGCCCTACTACAGCCTCATATCACAGCAGACCCCAGGTAAGTTGCCAAACTGTTCTCAAACGGTTTGACTACTTACTTTAAAATTATTAACATTTACTTAGTCCTTAAAGGACCACTATAGGCACCCAGACCACTTCAGCTCAATGAAGTGGTCTGGGTACCAGGTCCCTCTAGTTTTAACCCCGCAGCTGAAAACATAGCAGTTTCAGAGAAAATGCTATGTTTCACTAAGGGTTAATCCAGCTTCCAGTGGCTGTCTCCCTGCACCCATGCATGTTCTCGTTCAGCTCAGTAAAGCCATAAGGAAAAGTTTTCAAATTATTTAATTACTTCACTTCCCTAAACATGGATACTAGTGATACCAAAATCACTGGTGAAGCCAAAATGGGTGGCCCCACCAAGATGCTGGACACTAGGGAAACAACGCAAGACAGGGGAACAGGAGTCCAAAATCAGGGTGGTCTAGTCAGACCTGAGGGGAAAGAAAACAAAATTCCTGGAAAACTAAGACAATTTGTTATGATCAAAAATATTTTGCAGATATAGGCCTCAATTTAATAAGCTTTCCAGATGATTCAATACTATTGGAAAAGCTTTATAAATGATTTACCTCCAAAATCCCCATAGAATTTAATGGTGACTTCTGTAGATAAATCATTTGAAATATTTTTCTAACAGTACTGAATTATTTGGAAAGACTGTGAAATTGAGGCCTTAGTGTCTAAATGTTTCTTGTTCGATAAAGTGAATTTAACTTTAAACCTTACTGTCTCTTTAAAAGAAATACAGGATTAGCTTAATGGCTGTACATGTGTTAAAAACAAAAACAAGGCAGCATTAAAAGTGTTATTAAAACAGGTTGCGTGACTGTATGAAGCTTTATACACAAGCCATGACTCACATGTGTAGTCTGTGTGCCACAGCTAAAGTTACTAATGGTTGCAATATTCATAATAGAGGAATCACATTACATTTTGATTTTAACCTTGTGCATCCATCACTTGGATTGCTTCTTAGTGGCACGCAAACTTGTTTTTATTTATTCAATCTTTGAAAGAGTCATCTATATCCATGTGTGGTATGCCTGGGGCATTCTTCTTGATATTGGAGGAATTTTCTACTTGAATTTACTGCACTCATATAAAGCACATAAGATAGACATAAGGTGGATCAATTTATTTCAATGTCATGAGTAAAATGTACAGAGAAGGGCCGTCTTTAATATTGAATGGACCCTGGGCAAGCATTAGCTTCGGCCCCCTGGACCTTTCCACCACCCAACTCACTGGTATCCAATCACATCCTACACCCCAGTGCAGTGGCGGTACTAAAGTAGAAAGCCCTGGTGCAAGAATTTTTTGGGCCACTTATTGCAAGGGTAGCCAAACGTTAGATCCCCATCTGTTGTGCAGCTCCAACAATGCTTTGACAGCTGGGGCTCTACATTTTCCCATGCTTGCAGGGTTGTATTATGCCCTGAGCGGTGTCTGTGTGTTTGCATGTAATGTAATGTGTGGTGGGGTTTTTTTGTAGTATGTTTGTGTAAATGTAAGAGTATGCTTGTATGTGGTGTTGGTGTTTGAATACAAGCATGCATTTATAAGTCCTGTTGATTTTGAATGCCAGGGTGTGTTTATATTTTGGTGTTTAACACATTTTTATATTTTTGTATGTATTGTTGACGTTTCAATTAAGGAGTGTGCTTGTATGTAGTGTTGAAGTTTGAATGCAGGGGTATATTTGTGTGTAGTGTTAGTGTTTAAATGCTGATATGTATTTACATATAAACATACACAGTCACACAAACACACGCATAGACACACTAGCACACATGCGGATATACAGACACATATATATACACACTGACACAGATACAGACACACAGATACAGACTGAAACAGATACAGACACACAGGTACACATACTAACACGCATACAAATACACAGACACACAGATACAAACACTGACACATGCAGATACTCAGACACACATATACTCAGTGTGTGCAGCTACATATTTACACACTGAGACAAACACACATAGATACAAAAACTGACAACATAGAGACACACAGATACACATACTGACAACATACCAACATACAGACACACATACAGATACTCAGACACATATACTGACAGACATACTGACACACATACACATATACTGACAGACATACTGACACATATACACACATACACATAAACTGACACACAGACTGACTAACATACCGATACACACATTGACAGAACATACTGACACACACATTGACAGACATACTGACACACACACACCCCAACAGACAGATATACTAACACACACACACTGGAAGACATAGGCATACTGACACAAACAGACGCAAACATACTGACACGCAGGCACACACACACTGACAGACATGCTGACACACACATAGACACACTGACAGACATACTGACACACACTGATAGACATACTGACACACACACACACACTGACAGGCATACTGACACACACAGATACACACACTGACAAACATACTAACACAATGACAGACATACTGGCACACACACACACACACAAATAGACATACTGATACACACACACAGAAATACTGACACACACACATGCAATATTTACCATTAATCACCCTCCAGGTTCTTACCTTTAACTGGAGGTTGGTTTCCCTGGGGTCCAGTGGCAGCTCTAGCACTCCTGGCCTGGCCCCCTCCTCACTGCCTTCCTCCTCCCGTGTTGCTCTGATCTCAGTGGGAGGAAGTGACTTGCGGTAGTCACTTCCTCCCAGCCAGGTGTCAAACAGAAAGGGGCCCCTGCTGACACATGCACATTGGGTGGCCATTAGTGCATGGGCCACCCAGTGGGCCTCCTTACTGTGCGAGCCGAAGCAGAGACCATGGGGGCTGCTCAAATAAATCACGGCAGCAGGGCCCACGGGGCAGCTGCTCTGGGGCCCCCCAGGAGTAACTGGGCCTAGGGCTGCTGCCCTGTTTGCCCCTAATTAAAGACGGTCCTGGTACAGAGTATTTAATAGGGTTGTTTGGAGCTAAATTGACAGAGATGGCACTCATCTTGGATTTTACCAATATGGTATGGGCTCTCATATCTTAACTGGAAATAATTTTCACCACACTAAGCTAAATTCTGAAATATTATATTTTTGTTGTA